CTTTTGTTAAGGTAATTGTCTGTTGTACTTTATGCATTTCTTTCCCCTTGAACTTCATTGTTTACTTTGTCCCATCGCTAATCATATGTGTTTATAAACAAAGCTTTCTTGCAAAACTTATGCCATAACTGAGTTGTCGCTTTTTAAGGTGCTAGTAGCCTCAGTTGTTTCTGTTGTTACTAATGCATAATTGTTAGAGAAAATATATGGTGCTACCAAGAAAAACATAGAATAACTCAAAACTTCTTAATCTACACTGACCTACCTTTTGTAGGTTATTCACCCAAGTGATGTCATGTTGTTTTTTCAGCTTAGCAACATTACTGTGGCATTTTGCCATCAAAGATGTTTTGTTTGTTGGAATGGGAATGGAGCCAAACCCTACACAGACATGCTTGCCAAGTTGTTGCCAAGCAGCAGAAGGAAAGAATGTAAGACAGGCAGGTGTTTGGCCAGGGCAAAGGAGAAGAAATGCCTTGTGTGATAGGAGGTAGCATAGGAAAGAAAGAATGGTTATTTTGCTTGGAATAGTATGCATTTTTGTTGTACTGTGTCTTTTAGAGTGCAATCCTATGAATGCTTAGACAGAAGAATGTCATGGTAGCTGGAGTAAGCTGCAAGTTGTAGGATGTATTTCTGTCTAAATATGCATAATATTGTCTAAATGTGCCTAGGATTGCACCCATTGTAATTTTTAATCGCATTAGTATAAATATAATCCTGCGGCTGCCGGAAAGAGTCCAGACCACCATAGGATAATTGAGAGTCCCAGTTCCAACCTTGAGAAGTAAGAGCTGGACCTCCAGACTCTGACCTTCTTCTCCCCACCTTTCCAGCTGGGAAGATCGCAGGAGAGAAATAGAGTGGTCATTCTAACCACTTTGTTTTGTACTTTTGTACTTGCATTTTAGATAGATATAAGTGTTCCCCATTGCTTGATTTCACAGATCCTTGTGCTACAAGTGCTGGCCCTTACTAATGCCTAAGTGCCTGGCTAGTTGTAAAACCATGAGAATGATGATTTGGCAGGGCCAGTTGCTGAACAGTTACACCAAGGCTGAATTCTGAGAATAGTGCTAGTCATAACAGAGAAGTCGCAAGGCAGCAACAGGGGTGGCTCATCCATCTGCTTATTGCATCACTGCTTTAAAAATGGGAACTGCAGGCAATTCCCCTGCAATGAAATTGCAGTATGGGCACCTGAAATGGGTGCAGCTAACTTAATTTTCTGTAAGGGAAAGCACTAGCCCTCCTTCAGCTTGAGACTGAAATGGAGCACTGCATTTGTAAAGTCAGTCATGCATCTGCTTTTTTACAGCCTTCTAATGAACCAGTGTTTTGCGGTTGCTAAGTATGTGGGCTGTGGGTTGGGAAAAACCCACTTCAAACCTTAAGTCACAAAGTTACCGGGTTGGTTTAGGCAAGCCACTATCCCTTGGACTCAAGTCCACCATCTGTTCTCCGATGACAGTAATATCATGCACTACAGCATTATTGTAAGAATGGATTAAAGCACATGAAAGTGGCTAAAACCTTACAAAACACACTCAGATGGAAGCATTGTAGACCAAACTAAAGCCGATAAGGCAGAAAAATAGTGAAAGTGTCACTTCCTCTAATCGGTTCCTTTAATCAGGAACCATCTGGAGTCACTGATAAATAAAAGCAGGAGGTGTTGGCATGTTCACATTAATCCTAAGGCATGCAGAAATGCTTTGAAGTAGTTTTTAACCCATCCACTCCCCTGAAAATAGCTCCACAAAGACCGAGCATGCTCAGTGATCTCCAGGAGCTATGGGAGTTGGACAAGGAAAACAGAAACCTGGCTGGGTGAGAAGGAAGAGTAGAATGACCTATTCAAACCTTACATTTTACACCAGCTGTTTCCAACTTGATATACTCCAGACATCCTGGATTGCAACTCACAATATTCCTGACCTTTGGCCAGCTAAGCTCTGGCTGCACCTCTGTACATGCAGAAAACACCTACATGAAGGAAGGTTCCTCATTACTCTGGGATCTCTCCACTGTGTGGAGCTGGTGCCTGATGACTGCAGTGGCCAGGCTGGCCTGCATGCTTTGATGGCCACACATTCATTCGCTGTATGAAGGGAATTGTACATTATTACATTAGATATCGCCCATCTATTGACTGCAGTGGATAAAATATCAAGGTCCATCTTGGCTAAGATGTGTATGGCTGGTTGGCAACTCTGTTGTAAATTAACAAATGACTGCATGAATGTAGAATTAGGGTCAGACTAGACTAGTGCCACCACCAGCTCTGCCACTGCCTGAGGGAGGACAGGGCACGTGCCACTGTTGTGCTGCACCCCGCACTCCCGTCCCCTGTCTCAGATCTCCACCCTTGGTGTCCCATTTTGCTTTGCTGCCTCTCCGCACTTCTGTTTGCCTGATTGCAGAGAGAGCTGCACAGCCAGAAGCAGCCATGACTGGGCCTTGCAAGAACTCACTCAAACCCTGCAGGAAGTCGCCACAATCTCCCAAGAGTCCTCCCAGTAGGCATTTCTGGGTGTGCAGCTTTCTGCACAAGAAGGCAAGCAGAAGGCAGGCAGCTGTTCTGCCCAACCCCACCATCAGGAGGGGTTCCCTGGAGCCCCCACTGGACAAAGCAAGGTGTTGGTGGCAACCGGCTCTCCTGAAGGAGGCAGAGAGAGCAGTGCAATGCATCACACCACCAGAAGGTGATCAAGGCAGCATGCACCTGCTCTAGAGTGAAAGGAAAGTTCAGTCTCAGCTCCAAGCTATATGATTAACATTTTGTGTAGGTTATAGCCTTACCCTCAGAACAAAAGTCCTGAGAAACAGCAGAATCGACTCAGCTGCAGACTGTACAGGTGTAGAGGACAGGTTATTGCTGTTTTAAAACTGCCTATGCTCTAACTCAACAAGAACAGATAATCCGACATGCAGTTTAAACTGTGTAAATGGCAAGTGGAAAGGCTATGTCAGGGATAATGGAACTCAATTATTCTCTGTCTCAGTGGACTTTATCCAATTTTGGATATTTGTTCAGGACAATTTATTAGTTCCTGCTGAAAGTTTTCACTCAGTAATGTAGTAATCCCTTGGCACTCTTTATTACAATACATTCAGCTTGTGCTCCATAACTGTTGGACTGCAGATCTGATTCCTAGGCCTAATTCAAGTATGTGAAGGGGAAACAGAGCTCCAACAGCTTAAGAGCAATCTCTTCTAAGAAGCATTCACCAGGGTCTTGTCTATTGACCTCAAATTGCAGCCACTGTTAACCTTATCTGAAGCTGCTTCAGTTATTCAATTGGCTGGTACTTTTGACCATTCACATAAAATAATGTATTATAAGGTTTAAGGAGATACTTTATTTTGTGAGCACGCTGCAAAGTGTTCTTCATTTTGAGAAGGAGGTGTAAAACAAATTCCACATTTGTATTTTACTAGTAATTTATGCACTCAGTGGCTCACAAATGCCCAGCCAGTTTTGAAATAACCAAATCCTGCCTTTCTACTTCTTTCTACTTTCTATATGTGTCTATTAAGAAAAAGTCCCCCTGTGTTCAGAGGGGTTTCCCCCATGTGTTTGAAAACCTCTGCAGGGAATAAGTTCCATCAAGATCAGATGGACTTGCTTACAAATCAGCTGGGCTATTGGTTCCTGACCTCACAAGTTCAGGGACAGTATGTCCCCCAACTTCTCAAGTTTCAGTGTTGACTTTCTGAGCTAGCAAATCTGCTAGAGTCTTCCTTTTCCATATGAAGCTTGGAATATTTCAAGATTATTCATCAATGTGCTGTAGTGGTTGAGTGCTGGACCAGGTCTTGGGCGATTTGGGTTCTAATCCCCTGTTCAACCATGAAACTTACTGGTTAACTTTGGGCTTGTCACTGACTCTCAACCTAACGTACCTCAAAGGTGGTTGTTGTAAGGATAAAAAGCTTTTGTTTTCTTATTCCATTTATGTGGCTTTACATCATAGAATCATATGATAGAGTTGGAAGGGGCCATGAAGGCCATCAAGTCCAACCCCCTGCTGTTACCATGTTACACCATTCCACTCAGATGGCTGTCCAGTTTCTTTTTGAATGTCTCTAGTGTGGGAGAGCCCACCACCTCTCTGGGCAGCTGGTTCCACTGTCGTATTGTTTTGACAGTGAGGAAACTTTTCCAAAAGTCCAGCCTGAATCTGGGTTGTTGCAACTTGAATTGATTATTCCATGTCAGAGTGTGATTATTCTACACTCTGGCATCCGCAAGAAAAGATCTTGACTTTCCTCTCTATGACAGCCTTTGTGTGCTGTTTCCAAACAAATTGTGTGCTGTTACTTCTGACTTGTTGATACTGCTGTCTTACCATTTAACTCTAACTTTATTCATTGTAAACCAGCTTGAGTATGATTTTTGTACAGAAAAAATACATAATAAAAGTGAACATGCTTATTGCTTTTCAGTAGCCATTTCTTTCCACACAAAGGCTGTATCAGCACATAATGCTAAGCCATGATTTATATTAACCATGGCTTGTTTTAGCAATAACCTGTTTTGCAGGGGATAAACATACCACAACTTTTTTCCCCTATTTATGGTTTATTTTCAGGCTAGACACCTCCATTTCAGGGCAGACAGCAGTATAAATACAGTAAGGATAAGCTTCAGTTCTGGGTTCAGATATTGCAACAAGTTATACTTTAAACAAGCCAGACTTCATATGCTATCAAGAAACCATGGTTTGTATTTGCATTTCATAGCTAGTTAATGAACCATGATTTGTGATCATAGTTTCAGACACAACAGCAAGCTTGATTTCAGCAAAGTTCTCCATATGTAAACTAGACCAGTGCATGCTTTTCCAATTTTGTGTTAAGTGTGTGTTAATTTTCCATTGACACTGAGGATTTCTTTTCTTACAACAATAATGAAGTTTAAGAATTAAGCTTACATATTTCTAGGTTCTAATGCAGTAAATGTAAAGTTGTTCTAATGCTGTTTTCTGTTTTTGTAGCGAAAGAGACAATCTCTTAAAAGAAGCTGAAATTTTACACCAGGCAAGGTTCAGTTATATTCTACCAATTTTGGGAATTTGCAACGAACCTGAATTTCTAGGCATTGTGACAGAATATATGCCAAATGGGTCACTGAATCAACTTTTATATGGTGTAAGTATGAACCAGGGTTCGTGGCAAGACTTTTGAGCCCATGAGCAATGTTGGTTTTAAAATGAAGCAATTCCAAAGAGGGCTGGAAAATGAATAGGAAGTTGTTCCTAAAGGCTGGCCAGATAATCTCACCCCTTTTCTTCCATGATGGACATCTACTGGCCCATTGCTTTAATGGCCAGGGGTTAGTCTGAAAAGGACCTCTAGAAAGCATGCAATCTGGGGCAGCCGTAGTGGGAGTGATCCTATTATCTCCTAAGTGTGTATGTGTGCTTGTTCAATTTAGCTTCTGAAGCAGGGGTGGATAACACAGGAGCCAAATAACACAGGAGCCAAATTAATTCATGGGCTGCCCCCTTCTGAAAGATGTGGGGAAATGTCATTTGTAGCAAGATAAATTTGACCCTTTGGGCTGTCAGTGCTACACGATACCATTTGTTCATTACAAAACAAAAAACTTAAAGTATTTTTAGAGCACCTTGCAGCCTAATTTCATGGTGAGGGATGGGGCGGGGGGGAGGTAAAAATGGGCCCTGAACCTCCCAAAGTTGCTACTCAATGTGCGATCACCACTCTTCAGAATTAGTCCAAGTATTATTTGTTTGGAAAAGCATATTCTGAGTAGCTGGGAAGAAATATGGAGCAGCTTTAGTCATGCAAGTTTATATTGCCTTGGTTAAGCATTTATATGGACAAATTTCATGAGGCTTGGTGTTAAACATCTATTTCTTCTCTTTGTTTAACTAGAAAAATATATACCCTGATCTTGCTTGGTCGCTGAGATTTCGCATTCTTTATGAAATTGCCTTAGGAGTCAACTATCTTCACAACATGAATCCACCACTCTTGCACCATGATTTGAAGACCCAGAATATTTTACTAGACAGTGACTTTCATGTTAAGGTATGAATGTATTCTTGCTTCTTGGCCTCTGTGCTCCCCTGGTACATGAGATGAAATGTCTGCAGAAAAGGGGAAGGATTCAGTGTAAAAGAAATGAAATTTACAATACATAGAAGCAAAGAATTATGGGGCAGGATGAAGCCCTCACTTCTGAGCACTAGAAATGCTATCCTTGAATGCCTCCTGAGATTTTACTGAGCATTCTCTACGTTGGTCTATTTCTGCCACCAACAACTAGAAATCTATTTGTTTTATTTTTTATTTTTATGTTTGGATGGGGAGTGAGTTAAATTTAAAAAATATAAAACTGATCACAGTGTTGCCAGTATGAACAACAAAGCTTGTTCGCAGTCTCCTTTTCAAATACTTAACTTTTTACGCAAGCACTGGAAGTACCAACATGTTTGCCTGCAATATCTCAGAGTTTCTAAAGGTTGATTTCACTATATGTTAAGCAGTAATATATAATACAGAGAAGCCTCTAAAAGGATCCCAACCATTTCATTGTGTTACTGGTTTCTCCTGTTCAGTGTGATCTTTGGTGGGTGGAGTGATTTAAACACAAGTAGTATGCAGAAAATCATGCTCCTTTCCACTAAAGATATATAGGAGAAGTGAAAAAGCTGTTTAAATGTAGTGCAAGCTTGAAAGCTTTAGTACCATTTTCAGGGTAGAATTTTTTAGAACAGTTACAGTGAGAGTATGTACGAACACGGTCACTCCTAAATGCTTTTAAAATTTGCCTGTGTGGTTTAATCAAAATTAAAAATCATAAGCACATTTGAAAATGTTGTACCCAGAAGCTACATTTAGACCTAGCTCAAGGGAACACTAAACTTACTTTCCATCATCTTTATATGGTAATTAATTTCTCAGATCATCCACAAGTCTTTGAGGGAAATGAAGCATGTGTCTAAAGCATGTGTCATTGTTGGCTAAATATGAGCCAACAATGTGATGCAGCCACAAAAAGGGCAAATGCTGTTTTGGGATACATTAGGAACACTACTTCCAAATCACAAGAAGTATTAGTTCCCCTATACTCTTCACTAGTCAGATCTCATCTAAAATACTGTGTCCAGTTCTGGGCACCAAAATTTAAGAAAGATGCAGAAAAACTAGAAAAAGTCCAGAGGAGGGCAACAAAAAATGATCCAGGGTTTGGAAACTTGGCCCTATGAGGAGGAAACAGTGAGAATAATGGGTTTGTTCTGCCTTGAGAAGATTGAGGGGAGACATAATATCACTGTTGCAAAGGATGTTGCAAAGAGTGCAAGCTCTCTTCTCAGTGATACCAGGGTGCAGGACATGGAAGAATCAGCTCAAGTTGCAACAAACCAGGGGGGCTCAGGCGGGACATCTCCGAAATGTCAGAGTAATACAAAAAGTGGAACCAGTTGTCTAGAGAGGTCATGGGCTCTTCCTCACTACAGACATTCAGAAAGAAACTGGGCAGTCATCTGAGTGGGATGGTGTAATTTGGTGTCCTACAGCAGCAGGGGGTTGGACCCAATGGGCTCCTTGGCCCCTTCCAGCTCTACAAGTCTAAGATTCGATAATATAAAAGGCAGAGAAAGAAAAACACTGTGAAAGGACAAAAAAAATCCATAAGCAGTAGCCTCAGTTAAAGTGGGTTAAAGGGCTAATGTCCTAAGTGAATGTCCTTCTCTCCCCACCCCAGCCTGCCATCACCATTTGGCACTTACTGAACATCAGGGTTATCATACGAACATTGATAGATCTGGAAAGACTGAAACCTGGCCAGCTTGGTCTTGAGGGTTTTTTTCACAAGACAAAAAGCAGGTTGCTTCGAAAAAGAAGCAGGCACACGGACTGGTGCTCAGTGATTGACAATTATCTGTGTGTGTGTGTGTGTGTGTGTGTGTGTGTGTGTTTTAAATGAGCACTAAGATTTTGTTCCCACTTTTTGAAATATTTGTGTGTTTTGTTTTTTTGGTTTTCTCTTTCCTCTCCCATAAAGGTCTTTATTTCTACCCACTTTTGAAATAAGGACTTATCTTCAAAGTTTATTTCAAGAATGAAAGAAGGTTCTACATATGAAAGGGCCCCTTTTGTGAATGGAACTTCCGTATGTTCATGGAATAAAACTTTTGGATCAATCTCCTTATATCTGAACATACATGATGGGCTGTAACAATATTGTAAGATAGACCTAACTTTCCACCCTCTCTTCTAGATCGCAGATTTTGGTTTATCAAAATGGCGCATGGTATCCATGACACTCTCGCGAAGTGAGAAATCAATGCCTGAAGGAGGAACTATAATCTACATGCCTCCTGAAAATTACGATTGCAATCAAAAAACACGTGCAAGTGTAAAGCATGATATATATAGGTATTTACATTTTATTATGGAATTAATAATGGATAGTTGTGTGTTATATATTTGTCTTAATCCTTCCACTTGGCATGATAAATATGGCATACTGGACACTTCTGAATTTGAGGCTTGCTGAGGTTGGCCTCAGGTTGCCTTTGTGCATTAGAGCTGCTGAACACCATTTCCAACAGAACGCCCTCTTATAAACAGTGCTCAGTTGCAAAGGATAAGGAGCACAATCTCCTATCTTTTGTGACTTTCCTCTTGGCTAGCTCTTCTTAGAAGCTTATGGGTACACAACTTGGCTAAGTTTTCTGAGACTCATGGGGTAAGTTTGTGGAATTCATTAAGGACCCCCTCCTCTCCCTGTTCCCATAATTCAAGCACTGCTCATAGCCATAAGAATATCAAAAAGTTGCATTAAGGTGAGTTACCTACAAGTCTACCTTCAAAATGTTGTGTGGGAGGGGCTCCCAAATATTTTCCAATTTATTAGTATTTTTAATTAATTCTGTACCAACCAATAGCTGAAGGTCTCTGTGTATGCATATGCAGTTTTCCCCGTAGCTGTATTCAGACATCATGGTAACTTCTGGTTAACAAGATGAAAATAAGTGTTGGTGAGCCTCTGGGCCTTTTCTTTTCCGTTCCCTGGTACAGCCCTGAAAGTGAGTTCAGAAGCATTTGCCTCCATTTTAGACTAACTGCAGTTTAATGTTCAGCCTGAATCCTGATCAAAATTTTGGTTTGTTGAAAGACGCCTGCTTCATAAGCCATGGTTTTAATTTGGTTTGCTCAATCAGACCATGATTAAGATTAGCAGTTTATCAGGTTCAGATGACATGACAAGCTGTGGTTACTCAAAAGCAAAACTCTTCCTCGTGGCTGCAAAGGATGAGCAGAGTTGCTTTGGTGAAGTCCAAGGCACACTGTGATTCATCATGATGTCAGAATACAGCCAATATGCAGTCTTTTCCAAAAGCACCCTTGGGAGGGCCTAAGAAGAGTCTCATTGCTTTGCTTATTGCAATTATATGGTTCCTCCCAAGGCATCCTAGCAATCATAGATAGTTACCTGTAAAGGTTGGAAGGGAGGTCCACTGTCAGAAAGCGAAATCTGACTTTAGATACATGAATATTATTGCTACAGTGTCAGTAAAGGCAACAATTGGGGGTATTGGTGAGGGAGGGGGTGTTTCTTGGACAATTTGGGGAAGTTTTGTCTCCACAAGATCCAAAGCACAAAAGGTCTCCAGCAACAGCCATGATACAGGAAAAATGCTCAGGAGGCCCTGTAGCTGGCATGCACAATTGACTTCCACTGCACAGTGGGGAGATTGTAGAACAAGCACTGCCACCTGAGCAGGAGGGCAGCAGGAAGAAATGCCTTTTCTCCCTCTCTCCCCGCTGCCAGCATAATTCTAGCAGGAGCTTTGGAGAAAGTGGCCATCTACCTTCAGCCCTCCCTGCTATCAGCTGTAGGATTCCCTTGTTAATAATGTGCCAGAGGTACTTGAGCCAAGCAGTATTAGAACAGATGCCTTTGAATACTTTCACTAATATTCTCCTGGACAACAATTCCAACACAAATAGCTGAGTTATTTTCATTTCACAGAAGTTATTTTATCTTTGCAAAAGATTCACACCTGATTCATATTAATATGTATATATATTTGTTTTGAACAGTTATGCCATTATTATGTGGGAAGTGATGTCAAGAAAACAACCATTTGAAGGTTAGATACTTGTTTTAGATTGCTCTAGTTTTGCTTTGGTCTTGTTTTGCTTATGTTTGCTTTTAGTATACACCAAGATTCTCTTTAGGAGCAGCTATGGGTTAGGCTAACATGTAGCAATTGGAGAAAGTTGACCCATGGAAAAAATTCAAACTGTAACTAGTACTTTCTAAGAAAAAATGGCTGTTCTTTCCCCTTTTGCCTTGGAATTTCCCTCCTTTTGCTTTCAGTTAAATAAATTATATTATGAAAGCTTGGGAGGGAGGGGGTGAACTCTGGCAAATAAACAAGGAAGGGCTTTACTAAGGCATTTCCAGGTGTGGATTTTGTTGTGCAATCATCCTGCCTCAGCCACCAAATTTTATGAGGAGGGCATAAAATTTCCAGAGGGCATCTTCCATTTTTTAATCTCCCCACAATTTCCTTTGCTGCTTCAATCTTTCTGCTGTTAAAGAAAGAAAAAAAATGCCAGTATGCTGCCTTTTAGTGCTAAGGGGCTATCAGTTTGGAAGCACCTGTAATATACTCTATCACACTGAGTATTATCTCTATGATCACCTGTGTTTTCACTACCAAGAAGTACAATTATTTCTAATGTGCATAATATCTACTTTGACAGATGTTATAAACCCCTTGCAGATTATGTATACCGTGTCACAAGGAAAGCGCCCGGACACAAGTGAAGATTATTTGTCACTTGACATTCCTTACAGAGGGTTGATGATATCATTAATGGAATGCGGCTGGGCCCAAAATCCAGATGAAAGACCTTCTTTTTCGAGTGAGTTTTCTGTTTTACATGACAGGGTAGGAAGCTCAGCAAGGATCTCCAAACCCTGCTCCTCTATGGATCAGTCCGTACTCTCCCCATCTGAATGCAATTGAAATGATGGAAGCTGCACACCAACATTGTGCTCAGTAATTCTGGGAGTGTATCTAGCATTGGTTGGCTGCCCCTCAGCTATCGATATTATCTAGTTCTGATATATAATTTCCACCAACTGTGTTAATTCCTATTTAGAGAATACACCAGTTTTTCTTCTGCAACTGCAGCTGATGAGTTTAAGATAATCCGATAACTGAAGCTTTCCTGAGTAAGTCATTTCCCTGCCTTATGTATGCTAAATTTCAATGAGGAGGTGATCACTGTTATTCCCATTTTACGGATGGGAAAACAAGGCAAGTTTTGGAGAAATTGAAAAGGTAAAAAGGAGAGAGAAAGAGAAAGGAAGAGACAGGAGATAGAAAAAGAATAATGTAGGTATCAAAAGGACCTTTTCACAAATCTCCTCTAATAAGGAAATAAGCATCACCATCACCATCATATACAGGACTAGGATAGAACTAATATTGTGAGGGGGAGGAGGAGGGGGAGGATACACATACCACATTAGCATTTCCAGCCCTTTAAATGCAGCCTCTTACATCAAACTGAATCAAGCTCCTTTAACCATTTCTAATTCGAGATGTGCCGAGGCCCTGGCATCACAATACTTAATTTTGAAAAAGCTTATGCCAATTAGACATTTCGATGTTTCAGTTCAGAATGTTATTTATTTATTTATTTATTTATTTATTTTTTCGATTTATATCCTGCCTTTTTCCTATAAAGGGCTCAAGGCAGCTTATATCTCCTCCTCCATCTTATTCCCACAACAACAACCCTGTGAGGTAGGTTGGGCTGAGAGTCTGTGACTGGCCCAAAGTCACCCAGTTGGCTCCATGGCTGAGTGGGGACTAGAACCCAGATCATCTGAGTCCCAGTCCCATGCTCTTAACCACTACACCACACTGGCTCCTTGTAATAATGGTACTTTTGACATGGATATAAAAATGAGAATATAATCTAGAATCAATGACATATACTTATTTTGTAAAGTATAAATTGAAAAATCAGTAGAATTAATGCAGCACATCTCACATTTTTGGTATGGACTTTTTAAGAGAACCTTGTTTAGACATGTCAAGCAGAGAGTAATAGACCAGTACATTTTTGAGGCTTTTTCAAACATAAATACCTATCTTTCTCATTAAGAAAAGAAGTTATTATTATTCTTTCCTTAATCCAGGCTATGATATACTGGCTTGGCTAAGGTTATCCTGGGCACAGTCCTTTGCATCTTGAGCCAGAACAAAGGCCTGCAACTTCCAGCCTGCCCCAGGCAGCTGCTTGGGGCATGCTGGGAGTTGTAGGCCTTTTCTTTGTCTAAACAAGTATAGAATATACCTTTAATGTGTCTGTTGCAGAGGCAAGCTTTTGAACTGGGAATGGATTTTCTAGATCTTTCTTTCGGATTATGCTACTGTAGTGCTTAATGAAATATTTCTGAAGATACATCATTTAGAATTGCAATGAAAGGCTTTATATCGAATTGCACTTGTGGTCACATCAACTATTTTGTAGAATCAGATTATATTCTGTAGAATTAGATATTTATTTTTGTTTAGGGGGAAAGTAAAGCTTGGAATTGCACACAATGACTTGGTTTTCACACAGTATTAACCATGCTTTATTGAACCCATGGCCTGTTGCCCTATCTGTTTATCTGACAGGTGATCAAACAAACTATTCTTCGTCTTCTTAATCTTTTTGTTGTTTGTTTTTCTTGTCCTTCATCTGTTCTCTTCCTCTTTCCCAAATGGCTTTGTGGCAGTATAGTACTGTCATGTTAGGGTGCCTGGGGTATTTTTTACTGCTGCCTCTCTAGCCTTGTGAAACAATAAAAAAAACACAGTTCTGGGTTCTCATATAACATTGACCCATGATTAAAACAACCTAGAGTTCATAACCCAACAACAATGCATGGTTTTCTTTTCTAGGTTGTTCATTGTTAACAAACTATGGTTTGTTAGAGCTGCTGAGTTCACACATCATAAAACCCAGAATTCAACATCTCTCATGCGTGAATCAGGTCCATGCCACACTTTCAAGTTATTGTAGCATAACTATGACCTTCAGATCATGTCTACTTTCAGATTAAGGTAAAAGAGACTGCAATAGTTTGAAAGCCCCTGGCAATACTTCCCGTTGTTTGATCAAGCAGTTACCACAATCCAGTATGACCACATTTTTTCCTTTAATATTCTAGTGTATTTTGAAATCAAAGACAGTTTTGTAAATATCAATATCAGGATTCACCATATCCCAACTTCACATATCAGCAAACACATCACTTGCTAAACTTTAAAAAGTTTTTAACAGTTCATTGAATGGAGCGGGGGACATGCTATATTGATAAGAAGAGGTTGAAATGATGGCACAGGGAAATAATATAGAAGCTATATCAAGAAACTGATTTAAAGCAAGGGTGCTAGACCTCTTTCAGCTTGAGAGCAGAATTCCAGTTCCCAGAAGCTCTCAGAAGCCATGTTCCAGTGCTGTGCAAGGCCAAAGGCAAAAGGGGGCTAGACCAAAGACAACAGTGCTGGAAACAAAAATACGAGCATATTTCATCTCGGAGCTCTTAACTATCAGTAACTAAGCTTTAAAATAGCATTTAGAATAGTAAAGAACGGCACACAAGTCAGGAAATCACAGCCACCAAACAAGTGGAATGAGATTTGTGGACGGAAGCATGGCCAGATTATACTCAAGGGCCAGGTTTTATTTATTCATTTATTTATTTATTACCTTTTCTATACTTCCTAACAGCCTGAAGGCTCTCTGGGCAGTTAACAAAGTCAAAAACATAAGGTAGACTCAATATAGCAAAACATTAAAACTGATAAAATCTCTAAACAAGCCAATAACAGCAAGCCCACCATCACTGTATCAAATTAAAAACTCCAGAACAGTAATCAGTCCAACAGCAGGTGAGATTTGCCCCCTGGACTGGAGGCTCCACCCCTGTTTAAAGTAATCTCATCTTACACATTTCTTGATGTAAGAGTATTTAGTTGGGTGTCCTTTATGTTTTACTAAAGTTTCTCTTTTCCTTTTATGTTCTATATTTGTTTTGTCCTCTGAATAACATTATTTGTGCCTCCAAACAAATATCTTTTCTGTTGCCTTTTGCCAAATATGGAAATAACCAGTTTCTGTTGGACTCCTGCTTCCTTTCAATGATCTGTCTAAAAGTTGAAAATTGTAATTTCCTGAACTGTAATTTTAATGAGTTCTCTGCAGAAGTGTTTGAATTGTGTCATTTTCTTTTTTGAGATAAGTAGCAGTGCTGTAAATTTTGTTATCGTTCTGGAATTAGTTTGATACTTTCAGAGAGGAATGTTTTGCCCTGTCAGGCTAGTAGTTCATGTTAGGTATTGCTCAACTACCTTTATCACATATCATGATGTTGCAAGGATTGTACAAACATCAGGCTGCAATCCCAATCACTAGTGGATGTCCAGGTCTAGTGTGACTATATAAATCAGAATATTATATATGTAACCTTCCCCACAGCAGGGATGCTGGGGATTTAGCCAGTTTTGAGACAGGGACTTGGCCTAAACATGGATTGCATGCTTAGGTCTCAGAACATCTTCAGGCTCAGGAGTGCAGTGTTATCCTCTGTAACGAGCAGACGCTGGGCTGGTTCACACAACCCCAATCCACTGTGGCTTAAACATTCCTGGAAAAACCCCTGTAGCAGCCTGTGAATTATTTGAGGGTTGTTTAAACTTCTAACAATCCATGCTGCCTCAGTCCAGATGACAGTAAGTCCAGCGTGCCGTGCAAATCATGCCCGGCACATGCCACCCTCTGCAGCAAGCCAGCAATGCGCCGCTGGCCACTGTGCACATTCAGGCTGCAGCAGGAGGTCAGCGTGTCTCATTCTGGTGTGTCCGTCTGGGGAGGACGGAGTGTTGCTGCGGTTAATGCACAGGCTGACTTGGTTCAGATGATCAAAACACGGCACCAGAGCCCAGCATGGCTCATTGATTTGTTTGTGTGTTTATTTATTTATTGAAACATTTTTATGCCGCCCCATTCGCCGAAGCCTCAGGGCGGCTTACAACACTAAGCTAAAATAATTATAATATACATCAAAAATATAAATATTAAATTAAAAATACAAAAATACAGTATAAAATGAGCTGCCCTGGCCAGATAAAATCCAATAATGTTAACAGTTGAAATGCCGCTTGAATAAAAAGGTCTTTGCTTCATCCTATTCCTGTTACTGCTACAATGACCAACAGAGTTTGTTCCTCCTGACCAGTAGGAGAGTGAGCCCTATTTACTGCCATGGTACACTCCCCTCCAAACCACACCCATCCTGAAACATTTTGGGTGTGAACTGCCACCTCTTCCTCCTCATTAGCGAGCCACCAATTTTAGGAATGCTCTACGACTGTACTTGGAGCTGGAGATGCTGTGTGGCAATCGTACCTGTACTGAAGTGGAAGGAATCCATTGACATGGCTGGGTTTGTGGGTCCCATAACAATGAATCATGAAAGTAGGTGCCAGAAAGCAGCATTTCAGACCGAATACCAGTTTTTAGAAAATTGTGCGTGGCAGGTGGCAGTGATATTTCAAAAATGCAGTCAGCTTTGTTTTTCCGTGGCTTTTGTGTCTGCCAGATCTAGGTAGGCCAAGTGTTTTCCAGGGATTGGCTGGTTTGGGTCTTTCTTTGCTTGTTTATTTTTGTGGGGGTGGTAGTGGTGGGAGGTTGTATCCTTAAATAGGAGTGCCCTTCTTTTTCATAAATCTGATGTCAAAGTTCATCTGCTTGACTAAAATGCTAGAACTGAGCACTGTCTTCTTGTTCGTTTAGGATGTTTAATAGAGCTTGAACCAGTGATGAGAAGTTTTGATGAGATACCTATTCTTCAAGCAGTGATAGAATTAAAGAAAGCCAAAGTAAGTTTTCCTTGTAATATGAACATTTACCAATGGTAATTATCTGTCTCAGCAAAGAAACTTGATCTCCATGTAACTGAAGTAGGATGTTGTATGCCTATAATATGCACCTGGATTCATAGTCCCATGCCAATTGACACAAGCATATTCATGTCTCTTGCAGTCTCAGTACGAGTGGCGATGCATTCACTTGGCTAGCAACAGATCCAGTGATGAGTCAATATCTTTAAATATATCAGTGCATCCTAGTCTACAGGAGGTAATACAACCTTTTCTATTATTGCTGTTGTTGCTGTACTTTTAAAAATCATTTTGTCTGTTATATAATCCTTCAAAAACTCAAAAGTACTTTACATGCATTCTCTTATTCTATTGTATTGAGGTAGTTAAAAGACATATAAAATCCCGTAAGAAGGTTCAGATTTCTTCTTCTGCTGTTGAAGACAGAGGCCCCTTGCTGCTGGAGCAAATGCCAGTTCAGAAAATCAATGTCAGTGCCGGGGGGGGGGGGGGTGTCCAATGGTCAGGCAGGGGAGTTGGCCAGAGAGGCCAGAAGATTATTCAACCTCAGCCTGTCCAGCTTCCTTTTCAGCCCACTCTGAAGCATCCTCACTAAAACATCTATCTAGCAAAAAAGAGCAGAGCTTGTAGTGGGAGGCAATACTTCCTTCACTGCTCCTCTCACCATGCAGAGCATCAGAATCTTGGGAGCCTTTGAACTGGGGTTTCCAAGCAGTGACAGATCACTCCATTGCCCTCTTCAAATAGTTTACTTAGCCCATCAATCATGGTACATTTGCCGGGCTCAACCCCAGTGGAAAGAGCACATAATTTGTATGCTGAAGGTCCCAGGATCAGCCTTTAGCATCTCTAGGCAAGGCTTGGGAAGATTCCTGGTGAGCCACTGCCAGTCAATGTCAATAGTACTGAACTAGATGCAACAGTGGTCTGGCTCAGGCTAGGGCAGCTTTGTATGTTCCTAAACTCCTACAGTGGAGAAACACCGGATGCATTGTGCCTCTTAAATTATTATTTTTAAATAAGTTTTATTTGAATTATAATCCTAAAAAACAACACACTATAAATAACATCCATCATCAAAAACATTGAACCCGCTGGGTCAGCCCCCACACCCTTCTTTTTCCATTTATAACAACTTTAAAAACATATTTAAATCTATGCAAAGACCCTTTTCTCTAGCCAATAATAAAAAGAGTCCGTGCCTCTTAAATTATTGAGTTAGTGCTGTCCCAAATTATTTGGTTCACACTTCCTTTTTGCATTTAGTGAGGGTAGCTTTCCCCCATGGAATGGAGTAACCTTTGCAGGAAGGAATATCTGCAGAATGTTTAGGTTGGGGTGGGCTTGCTTCTTAAGATGAAGTAGCTTTCAGGTCTTTCTCCTTTCTAAAAACTTGAAAAATGTTCCCTGTAATTTCAGGCAATGTGTCCTGTATTTCCTTTCTAACTGGAAACAGAATATCCCATGGGATTGTTGCTTTGTCACAATATAGTTTTATTCGCACGGGCATTTGTGGGTTGTGGATAACAGAGCTATCCCATTTACCAGAAAAGTTGCCAGTATTCGCCCTCAGCTTTGCAGGGTATTATTAGAGATAGCGAGAATGTCAACTTAGTGTTAAACTCAGTTCATATTTTTGGGCAATATGTAATCTGCATTGGTGACAGGGAATATGGAATGAAGGAATGACCATTCTAAATTTTACAAAAACTAGAAGGTTCTCTTCCTGGACCATGTAAGGAATAACTGATGAAAGATGAAAGCTCAGAGCTAGAACAAGCTTTAATACAGAAACATGAAGGCTTGTGGTAGATTCTGTAAATTTGGGGCATTTGTTTATTCAGTTAGTTTTTTTCAGTGATTATTTGGGTCTAATGCTACATAGTTTTGCTTGCATCAGAACAGAATGAGTTTTATGACAATTTGCTTTTTACGGTTTGTTTTTTACAGCAGGTGTGGCATTCTGCATCTGGCACTGTTAGGTAGAAAGATGTGACTGTATGCATGTGTGGTGCCAGTGATCCATTGCAAAAGTTTCTTGGGCTTGCTTTGTCACCCTCAAATTGAAACTTGCAAGTCTGGGCCTGGCTTTGCAACAACTTACATACACAGACAATACGCCCTACAATAAGCACTGAAAATTCCCATTGCCTGCTACTTTCAGAATATGGAAAAATGTTGGCATTGTGGGGAGGAAGATGATGTAAAAATCATTATTCAACCCATATCTTGTGTGTATGTTCATCCCAGGAAACCCATGTGTCCAGATCACAAAATGATGGACAACCTCTACAAAGTGTTCTTCGGGATATGTCAAAACAGTGCAATGTCCTTTCAGAAGGTATGTTCCCTTGACCTAGTATAGCTCTGATCAATTGGAATGCAGTAGTCACGTGGCTGCATCTTTTATGTATGAAGCAGCTGGGTGGTGCTTTTCCAATCCAATGAATGATGATAGAAGGGACTGGGCCAAAGTGAATGGGGAAGAAACAGTTGAATTGATAACACATCATTCATGGCAGGTTGCTTAGACTGCAAGCAGGCATCTGTAGGCACCTGTGTTCTGTTTAGGCTGTTCCCCAGGTTACGATATGAGTGCCAAATAAACTCAAATAGGCTGACATTCTAGAGTCAACCTAACCAAGCATAGCAGCAAAGAATATTAGTCCATTATCCTTATCAGATAAGGGTGAGTACAAAGTTATAAATACAATGATATGATATGACCTGGTTGTACTGGTAGAAGTTTTATGGGGAAAGCTTGGGCACCATGATAATACAGCAGGTTCATCCTGTCTGTCTACCTCTGGACAAGCCTGTTTGGTCTTCATTCTAGCTGTTTATCTTTTTTTTTTTAGTTCTTCAACTCCACCAAGTGAAACAGATTGAAAACCTGGGGCTGAAATAGCAGGCAGTGCAACATTACAGAATGCCCCTATCTCCAACCTTAACAAAGTCTAGGGCCCAGGCCTTGAATATTGCAAAGCCAAGCTCAGAGCTCATCCCAAGCATTAAAATAAATACTACAAAGCTCAGAGCCCACCTCATAGACTCATAAAATAATAGAGTTGGAAGGGGCCATGAAGGCCATCAGGTCCAGTCCCCTGCTGTTGCAGGACTCCAGTCTGATGAAAAGTATTATAGAACCTTGTTACCATCCCGAGCTTGTTTTCTCCTTTTTCAAGAGCCCAGCACAAGCCTTTGAAAAAGGCTGCCTTTTGGTGGATGTTTTTGTCTTCTAGAGGTTGGATCTAAGCGGATTGCTGATGCAGGCCATGCTGCTGACAGATCACCCCCCGCACCCACCTGGAAAGCAGCCCCTGACCACCCTTTGAGCAGCTGCTCTGGCACACAAGTGGGCACTGCTGCCAGTGGGGGGGGGGGGCTGCTTCCCTGGCAGGCACCCCTGATCGAGCACTTTCCCGCATGACTGGCTTTCTTTGGTGCAAGTGGCAGCCACCATGTGAGCAGCTGCTCTTGTGCAGGAGTGGGAGGAGCTTACACAGGACACGGGGCTGCACTTACCAGCAACATGGATTCCGGGCCTCCACGAGGCAGACAGGAGTACAGCGAGCCAAATGTAGGGAATCCGCTGGCTTCCTTGCACATCCCCATCCACAAAGTGGGATTTATAGTTGCAAGAAAGAGTGCAGAAGGCTCTGGAGTCAAGCCCAGGGAATCCAAAGATCCCACCCCCAAAATGGATTGCTCACACATCCCTAAACCCAACACCTGCCTTAGGAGATCTCTAGAGCATGTTACAGCACATCATTCCTGAGGCAAAATCCACTTATCCAAAGTTTCAGAGAAGGCCAGAACCCCCTCTGCTGATTACCAATCAGTAGTTTCCTAGCTTTTGTGCAGCACCACCACCACCCCGCCCTACTGCCTCCTAGTGATAATTTCAGTCATCCAGTGACTGAAATTAAGATCTTTAAGCTAAATACGATGGTATTTGGTACTTTTGTTTTCAACCCAGAAAGTCTCATCCACCAAAACAGCATCTCCAAAATGGAATGTGGACCTCAGACTGAAAGCGATTCGGCAACCCTGTTCTTGAGCCTTTGCTTTTGCTCACAGCAACAGTCTTCCATCCCGTGCAGCAGTCAAGGGATGCGTGTTTCTAAAGCCACTGATGATAGGAGGGCTGGAATATGAAACAGTGCCATCAAAAATTACACTATGTTCATCCAAGCTTCTGGGAGTGACCAGAATAGCTTGTCAGGGGATCCCACAAGGGAAATAATATGTTGGTTCTGGGATAGTTTTGTTTTATACTGAATTTGGTGTGGTATGAACTCAAAAATGCATTGCATTGCTTCTTCTTCACTGAAGGTAGCGAAGACTCTTCTGGTGTTCCACACTCACTGGTTAGCTGCATCTCACTGCCTCTGAATATCCAGCCTTATGCTTCTCAACGGAGCTTTTCCTCGTCCACCACAAATAGTTCTAATTCATCGAATTCCATGCCATGCATGCTGCAGCCATCAGGACCTAACTCAGGTACGCAGGAGGTATTTTTGTATCCCACCCATATGAATGGCTATATATTCATTAGCAGGGTATTGTAATACCGAACAGTGTGCAGTGTATCCAAATTTGGGGCTGGTTAGGAGTAATGATGCAACTTCTGTAGATTCATATTCAGCTCCGCTGCATGTGCTGCTGTGGGTGAGCTTATCTGATTTGTGACAAAAAAATCTAACTGTGCTGAAGATGCTTCCTTATGAATGTGTGCTGTACAATTTCTATGAATCACTGAATTATAAAACATGACATATTTCAGATGATGGAATATATCATACTATGAATCTTTCTGAGATTACTGTTTACGTATGCTTTATGCTTCTGAATAACTATAGATAGGAGTAGGTTGCATATCACTGTAAAATTACTGATGTGTGAATCCCAGTAAATATTAATAGTAAGTATTAATGCCAATGATTATTATTGAGTGTTCCTAACTCATAACGTTAAGGGAGCAATCCTATGGCCCCTAGACATTGTTTGAGGACATAGAGTAGTAGGGATTTGCCCATCTCCAAAGTAGAGAACGGTTCTTTAACTTCAGAAGGGGAGTTACAGATCCAGTCACCTCCCCTGAAGCTGGCACAGCAAGAACTGTACCAGCTGCTGTCTGAGGACAGAAGATCAACTCTGAGATTAGGAAAGGGGGCATTCCAGAGGGCCAGGAGGTGAGGAGACCAGAAGAGTAGAATATCTCCAGTTCCTTCCCTGCCCCCCCCTCCAGTTGCTAGATGAACAAAGAACACCATCCACTGAGCATGCAGACCAGGAGGACTGGTAGGCAAGGTTTGCCTTCATCATTCCTCCTGCCTTGCACAGGATGACTGGAAGCTTCCAGGTTCAGGGGCTTCCAAGGATCAAGGGCGTAGTCAATAGGAATACATTTTAAATGTAATGTATTCCACAAATAAGCAAAAAATGTGGAGTGAACAAGAAAATGAAACAAGTGAACAAGAAGTAAAACTATGAAGAGAAGGAAAATATGCTTCCTTCCCTTCATTGAATGAACAGACAAGATTCCTTTGAGAAAATAGCAAATGAATAAAGGTGAACAATCAAGATGGAAGTGTTACTAATTTAAACACAGAACTCTTAGTAGTGCAATCTAGTAGTGCATGTCTGCCCAGAAGGAAGAGTTCTGTGGGCCTTATTCCCAGGGAAGGACTGCATCCTTAAATACTGTGTTTTCATTACACAAGTGTTAAGTTTCAAGTGAAGGATAGAATTCTGGTATTTCAAAATTCAGACAAATAGGCAGTTCTCGCCCAAGGGGTTTATCTTATTTTGATGTTATTTGTATATGTTCAGGATGAGTCAACTCTGTTGTTGTTGTTGTTAGATTTTTTGATGAAGACTCTGCAACCACAGGACATGACCGTAGCGCACCAATGGATCCAAAATAAAAGAGAGGAAATAGTCAGCCAGATGACTGAGGCTTGTCTCAACCAGAGCTTGGATGCCCTCCTCTCACGGGATTTAATCATGAAAGAAGATTATGAACTTATCAGCACCAAACCAACAAGGACCTCCAAAGTCAGGCAACTTCTTGATACTACTGATAGCCAAGGAGAGGAAGTGGCTAGGGTTATAGTGCAAAAACTGAAAGATAATAAACAGATGGGACTTCAGCCATATCCAAATATTTCTTCTGCAAATAGGCCCACATCCTTGAATTCATAAACATCAACCTAAAGAACTCACAGTGTTTCCTTAAAACTTGGAGTCCTGTTTCCAAAAAGTCACTTTATGTATCTGTTGCATTGCTGTAGAATGGTCTTTCTGAACCTGGTACCTTCCAGATGTTTTAGAGTACAACTCCTAGTACTTCTGCTTACTGTCTCTGCTGTCTTGGACTGATGGAAACCGAGGTCCAAAACAGCGGGAAAGATCCAGGCTGGGGAAGACTGCACTACAGTGAAGTGCAGAGGTGGGGTGGGAGGAGGGTAAGGGTAACTGAAAGTATTAAATGACCTCCTTGTCATTTTTAAACATTTTATAAACTATTTTTGCACCACACACTTGGAGTTTCCTCACTTAATGAAGACACACATATTTTGTGGATCTTTAAAATAGGGAAAATATAAACTATCATGGAGAATATGTGTGGCGTTACTGTCTTTATATGCCCTCTCTTGTCTGCTTTGAGAAAACAGAAAAAGGATATTGGTTTTTAGCCAGCTGTTGAAATTACTGCCAGAGCGTGTTTTTCAAGCCTTCTACCTAAAAGAGAAACTTTTGTGCTTTGACTTGTTCTGATGTGGGAGCCACTGCCCACCAGCTCCATCATTTCTGAGCATCATGGGTGATTATCACGTCTCTTTTGAAGCACATGACCAGCTCATTTGGAGCATTGCTTTTGACCTACTAAGAGATTGGGCATGCATCCTGGAATGTATCCTCCATTCCTGGATTGCCAGCTGAGATCCTTTCCTTGAAGAACCTCCTATAAATATCTAGGAAACTCCAGGATTGCACAGCACTCATTTTAAAAAGCATTGCTCTAACACAGGAATGCAGAACCTCGGGGCCTGATGATCTGGTGGTTTCCTGGCTTTTGTGCAATTTTCCCCCACTCTAAAAGGACAGCGTGCCTTTCAGAAGGCTTAGTCACTGGCAGGAAAGCTGCAAGCTAAAACTCACTGGCAAGTTGCCTGGACTGATTTCCAGGGTAAATCCAGTGCCTGAGTTCACATGACATGGCAAACCCGCCTGGCTTAAAAAATGAGGGATGGTGTTGTGTGAACCCACAATGGTTCATTCAAGGTGACTTATAATCCTGCTCTAAGACTTCTTCTGCGGTTTAGGAGCCACCCCTGGACCTGGCATGTTTTCTGAACCCAGATATTACAACAAGCTCAAAGATGGCCCAGACAGCTGCTAAGTTACTTGGCAAAAAGTTGTTCTGGCCAGATCCCAATGACAGCTGTCCTAAAGTGCCCAAGTTAGCTGATGCTGCTATCCAAGTGGATTTGCTTGGAGCTTCCTCCTTTGGGCCATCAGAAACAATGAACCAGCTGAAGCCATCTTTCTTACCGGAGTCCCCACTGGCCATTGTGTGCCAGCAATATGACCACAGAGTCATGCTCTGTTTGCTCTCCTTTATAGGAGGCTGAGCAGAGCATGGCTTGTCCCCACTCCATTGCTGAGCAGCTACAGCTCTGGGTGGAAGGGTGCACTCTGCTTAATCCTCTACAGAAGGCCAGGCACAGCTCAGCTCCTGGCTGCCTGATGTCACCACCAGATGGGAGTAAAGCATCAGAATGGTGCTGCTGATGATCTTGGAGAAGGAAGCCACAGTGTGGTGCCACTGCCAAAATCAGGATCAATGTCAAAAGCCCTCACTGCTACTCATGAGGTCTACTCATGAGTTGGGGTGAGGACTGTGCTCCTGTGGGGTCTCCTGGGATACTTTTGGTAGGACTGTGGAGAGGAATTGGCTCAAGACTCCTGCTGTGCCTGGTAATTTTGTCTGGCTATCCTGGACCCTAGACTAAGCCACACCAGGGAAGTCCAGCATCTGTCTTCTTTTTCCAGAGCCACAGTGACTACAGGTTAACAAGCCATGATCATTAATATATTTATAGTATTATCTTGTAGATGCCTGCTTGGATGTAAGATCCACTGAATTCAGTGGCACTTACTCTCAGGTTAGTGGGTGTAGGATCCCACCTTTGATGTCCATGTATCAATTGCACTTCTATTCAGATTAGAAGACATTGAAGAGAACTGGAGAGAAGCTATTGGGGCAGAAATAAACTACTTTTCATATGCAAGTTCTACTTTGTTTAGGAGAATGTGGACAGATTAGAATACATTTCATTCCTTTGCAATATGACTGTTTACCACTGAATGAAGAAGGAATTCTTTCCTTAAAAAGTGGGACAGATGAAGCTAATTATTTCCATGTATCCATCTGAATGAAAAATGTCTCCTTATGGAAAGAATATCATATGGACTGCTATATGTAAAATAGTTCAGAATATAGTTTCTGAATGATGGCAACAAAAATCATGGTTTTGTGAGTATGCATTCTCCGTCTTGTCCAGTGAAAGCACCAAGCACCCTGCTGAACAGAACAATAGAGAAGTTAGACAGTGGAGGGAGAGCCTTGATGTAATTCATTTCTGTCTAAATGGTATGGGCTTGAGCTGGCTTGGAAATGAGTCAATTCACCTGATCCCAGTACCTTTCAATCTTTGTTACTTTACCAGTATTCTTAGCATCCCATGCGGATTTGCAAGCTGGGGAGAGAGTGCAACACACCTGCTTTGCAGACAGCAGGCTCCAGGTTAAATCTCTGGTATCTCGAGATCAGACTACATAGCAGAGGAGGGCTGGTGCCAGAAAGATCATACATTACCAGGCTAAATCAACACATAAACTGATCTAAGGCAGTTTCTTATGTTTTTTTCCACTGGAGACTGATCTCTTCAAGGTGCTTTTATCAGCACTACCAGTAACTAACTCGATATAGGCCTTTATCAATAAAATACTGGAATTGGTGTATACATGATTTATAATATTTTCTGAGCTGCAACAAAATGTTAATGTTTGCTTATGTCAAAAAGCATTAACTGATGCAAATAGTGGAGGCAACATAAACTTCCATGAGTACCCAGAACCAGTAGGTCTTGCATAGAAAACCAATTGGAGCTAATGGTAAATATCTGTGATTAGCCTAGTTGTACCCCTGATGCTTGTCTTCGTTCAGCTAATGAGGACTTAACTGCAGTGCTTGTGTGAAGGAAAGCCTTTAATTTTATCAAACCACCCTAATATTGATCTATTCCTGGAAATGGTGAATCATAGGGGTTCTATACACAAAGTGCAAAATGGCATAGAGATTATTGCTTGCAATTGCCAGTTTGGAGCTCAAAGACTTATCTGGCCAAAATATAGTACCTGGAGCTGGAGTGAAGAAACTAGGATTCTATCCACCTCCCTTCACCTTCCCCATTTCTCCCAATCTTTTAATGGTTCCCATCTTTTGGTCAGTATAAATGGATGAAGAGACCAGAATGTATCAAAGCAAACAAAGCAGAAGGTTTACAACATGCCAGTCTCACCAACATTTGACTTAACTACTTAAAGATATTATTATAAGGAGGTGTCTTACCAAATTTGCATGCTCCAGGGAATTGCCACTGACCTGCATAAAATATGGGAATATCCTGTGGGAAAGAAAGTAGAAACTAACTCTGGAATACACAATCTGATCTAAAGGTGTGGGCATCTTCCCATGAGTAGGCAGAGGCCCAGCAGCCACAGGGTCCTGATTTACTGTATGCAAGAGGGCAGCTCTCGGTGTACATGCATGCCAAGGACTGGTCCACACATGGCAGCTTCCAAATGTGTGGGAACCCTGGTTCACTTTACCCATGTCGGAAAAAGTACTTTGCTGGGCTGCATGTGTGTATGAGCAAGAAGCTAGAGAGGAACAAAGAGTTATCCATCTTTCTGAAGTACAGAGGTTCTTTACTCTCTGAGCTACTTAATTGGAAGACACTAGAACTGATACTTAGTGCAGGAGCAAAGGATACATACATAGCTAGGGATGAGTAAGAATTTAATTGGGTTTGCTGATAACTCATCAATGTCTTCATAAACAGGATGAAAAGAACTAACAATTTAAACAAACTGAATGTGAGAGAAAGTAAAAGTGACATTTGTCCACCCCTATTCAGGGTATGAATCACAACACAAAGTTAAATGGGTATTCTTAGGAGGAGGCAGTCTTTATAACTCCCTGTATATTGTGAATTTTTGCTTAAGAAATTTGTAATAAACCCTTGATATTGTCATTGTTGGCTAAATATGTATGTAGGTGTGCATATGGATAGACATAGTTTGACATCTTCACAATTTGTGTTTATGTGTTCCAGTTTAATCCACCTACTCATTTTCCATTTTAGCAATACTTTAAAATTCAACTTCTAGCCTATTTAAAATTTCATCCTAACAGAATGTCTATAGTGTGTTTGTGTCTTTAGCATGTTGATTCACAAATATTGAAGGCCTGATGTACAGTACAATAATGTACCAACCATCAGAAGGCAAGGGTTCTGACATCAGTAGAATATGAATTTTGGCTTGTCTGCTGATTATCCTCTGCAGAAAAAAAATGGTGTAGAAGAAATCACTCTTTCCTGGCCTACCCTGCAGTGTGGGAGCAAAGTGGATTCCAAACCACTGTCAAAACGGACAGGACCATCTGTTGGTACAATGACATTCAGCCTGTCTTACAAAGGACAGTGCTCTATTCGAAAGGGTATCCAAGAGCTGTCCTAGTCGACAGCTCCCTCTGCTTGAAAGCCAGCCCAGTCCAAATCCAGTCTAAAGATAAAGAACCAGAAGAATTGTTGCACATGAAGCGTTAGCTCCCAGGCAGGGAGGCACTCCACAGAACATCTCATCAGACTCTGCCCCACTATGGTGAGATTTACTGTATTCCTACTTGAATAATAATTATTACTTCTAAATTTGCATGTGGACTTAAATCACCAGATACACATTTTACTCAAAATGCCTTCTTTTCCCTAGTTTTAGTAATGTGGTTCCTCTTTTTTGGCATTTTTAAGCACCTAGCCTATCTGTTGAGAAGGGTGTATGTGTGTACACACACACACACACACACTCACACATGTGCACAACTCCTATCCAGTAAGACTTCATACACCTGCAGGGGTGCTGAATGCAATATAACTTTCCCTTTGCATAAGTGTGTATTGGGTCACCTAAGATAAGAAGAGTGATGTAAAACTTATTCTTGAGCATACTATCCAACATAAGCATCTCCTATTACATGGTATTGGTTGGTCTTCATTCTCTCATTTACTGCTGGCTTAAAATAGCACAGCCATTAAGCACTGTGATTCAAGAGGAATAGAATTTCTCAGAACTGGAAATAACTTTCCAGCAGTGAGCTCTTGTAAATCATCGTTTTGCAACTGATTTAAAGAAAACAAATAGCATTGGGTTGGGTTGGGTTGGGTTGGGTTTTGTTTACAGAGAACTTCAGCTGGCAAGTGGTATAGAAATGAAATATATATCTGAATGTTTAGCTTTTCTTGTAAACCTGTAGCCATATCTTTGCAGACTGATGAAAAGCATCTGACCTAAATATTTAGATTAAAAGGCCAGCTTTACAGAGTATGTTTTTTTGATAGCTGTGACAAATATATGAAAAATCATCACAAATTAGAAATTTTAAAATTAAAATTTTGTTCAGTTCATTCAGTTTTATTATGGTCGTAGACCAGTTGTTCAATGTTGTTTTCTCCTCTGAGGGCTTCAGACCATTTAGAGTGCAACAACAATTAATTTGGTTTTCTGGAGTTCAAATATGTCTCTTGTTTCAGACATGTTTCGCTTAAGCTAAACACAGAGGTAGCTTTTCCCCTAGCAAGCCTGATTTTTTTCTGTGTATGTCTAATTTGGTGGGTGGGGACTTTCCATGTGTTCTCACAGCTATCAAATTAATACCAAGACCTGTGAGAAGAAAGGAAGAATAAGAGAAGCCGGAGTGGGCAAAAAGAACGTGAAAACTTGCCTCCAGCCGGGCTTTTCCACTCTTGCCAGTCCCACCTGATACTAACTGTCCTGTGAGAAGGAACACCAGGTGTTCACTCTTGTTAACATGGAGTTCAGTTCAGTTGTGTTCAATTCTGTTTTTGGAACACGTGCTTCTTTCTGTATCTGTTACATTCTGTAAATATTGTAGGCACTTTGAGGGCTTCAGTCAAGTCACAGAAATCTACTCAGTAATAGGGATAATGTAAAGATATTGTTACATCTGCTAATTGGGCAAAGTCCAATGGGGGAATGGGTTCTCATGTGCCCAGCCAATTCCCATTTGCAAGCTGTGCCCTGCTGCTTGTTGAGCAGATTTGGTGTTTCTGGGGAACAATTCAAATTAAAGTGCTCTTCTCTGCTCTTCTCAGCAAAGCTTGTAGTAAACTATCATTTCTATTTTTGTGAAGCATGGGAGAACTCCAGCTGAACATGGGAAGTCAGCAACATCTGAACTCTAAAATTCCATGAATGAAACAGGCTGACAATGCCATAAGAAGCCACTCTGAGGGAGAAGCCTAGCTTCTGCTTCATCATTGTTCAGAGGTGGACCTCCTTCACTGTGGTGACCACAAGGTGGAATGCTCTTTCCACTGAGATCGTGAGTGTGGAGTGTTTCTGCTGAGAAGACATATTTGCTTGTCCAGGTATTTCCCTGACTGTTAGCATTGTTTGTTTTAATGAGATGTTTTATGGTTCTATTGTAGTGTTATTGACTGATTTTATGGCATTTAATCATGTTTTTAACTGTGAACAACTTAGACTTTAAAAAAATCTGATATAAATAAGCCAAGCAAACAAAAGCCTTGTTTGGGAGGATCCCAAGAGGGATGCATGAAAAACAGGTGAAAAGGTCCTGAATATATTTGATTTGCTGGAATCACCAGTCAACTTGCTTTTCCTGTCACTGGTCACTACTGCTGTGATTTTTAAAGCCACCAGTTGGAATAATTGAAGAAGATAGTGGAAGTGAGGCAGAAAATAGGAACTGCTGTTGAAAAAAACCAATAAACAGCAGACACAGGGGGCGTGACGTCTAATAGTCCTGTGCCACTCCCCATGGCTAGGCTGTGCTTTGTAAGTTCCTTCCAGGTGTTCTTTGACTTTCGGAACACAAATACATTCTTCGACCCCGGCCTCTTTGTTTTGACTCCTTCATAGTTCTCTTAGACTCATTAACTTCTTAAGCAACTGCTCCCAGGACGCTTGGCTGGGGTGGTTTTCCTGCTCGGCTTCTCTGGCTATATTGTACTTTGCTTCTTTCTGTCCCTTGGTCTCAACAAGCACATTCTAAACAAGGAGGTCTTCTGTGAGGGACATCTCCTCAGTGGATGCTGGTGGTAAGTGTTTTGCATGCTTTGCATTTAGAAAGGAATCCAAGAGTATGTTCAGCTCTGTTGTGCTGGTTTGTTGCATAAACCTGGGAATGCCAGAAGTGTCCCAAGAAGGAAAGGCAGGTGCCTATCAGTGAGTATTGCAAAGAAGCCATCAATACCTGATAGCCTATTCTGATGGTTTGTCATCTAGGTAGAGAATGGGCACACGCATCACTCAACTTATAACACTTTCCCACCCTTGTGGCTCCTGTTTGTTGATTTCACAATAAAGCATGGAAACTGGAAAAGGAGTGCTGTGTGCTTTCCCCCATCGTCCTGCTGGACCAAGTTGGGGGGCTGCATCTTGCACCCTGGAGCAGGGTGGAGAAGGGAAGTTCAAATAGTTTAATATCCTCCTGATTTCTCCTTTCCTTGCCTGGTTGTTGCTGATGTGATAATAAAGCCATCCTTTGCTGAGACGTCTAATGGGTAACAATAGTTCATGGCAGCCTTGAGCCATGGTTGCAGAGCTGGACAGAAGCAGGTAATGAGAAGCAGAGCCAGAATTCAACATGAGACATTTCAGGTTGCTTTGTCCTTTTGAGGGAGTATGTTATTCTTAGGAAAATTCATCCATCTTGATGGTATAGATGAACCTTCCCCCAGCCTGGTGTCTTCCAGGCATTTTGGCCAACAACACCCAGCATTCCTGATCATTCCTGATCAGAATGCTTAGATGGATAGGAGTCTAAGACTTCTGGAGGGCACCTGTTTGGGAAAGGCTAGAATAGACGCATGGATCAAGAAAGAACTAGGAAAATATGCTTGCAGATTTTTGCTGGATCATAAGCCATTAATGGAATGAATAGTGCAAGTCTATAGGACATGTTCCCAGGAAAATGTGCTGAGCATTGTAGGCTCCATCCCAATGACTTCCATGGGCTTTCCATGCAATGTCTTTCAAATCAGGATGTCACATTTCTATCTTACCCTGTTGTTTTTGATTCTGTCATAAGACTAGCCTAAAGTTGACCTTCCCATCTAGTATGCCTGATTCTAGTCTGAATTAGTAACTCATGAATGAATTTTTTGTTGTCTTTGCATTCTGCCCATACTTAAGTGTAGTCTCAAGGCCAAAGCAAACATTACTGTAAATACTGGTTTGGCAGGTATATTTTTTCCTATTTCTACTCTAGAGTTGTTGCTGTTAGTCACGAAGTCATGTCCGACCTATCACGACCCCATGGACAACATTCCTTCAGGCCTTCCTGTCCATCATCCCCCGGAGTCCACCTAAGCTCACACCTACTGCTTCAATGACTCCAGCCACCTCATTCTCTGCCATCCTCTTCTTCTTTTGCTATCTATTGTTCCCAGCATTCTACTCTAGAGTAGTTGCAGGAAACTCAATCTAGCCCCCCAACCCCAGCTTTCTGAAACGTATTTATTGTATCGATATCCCACCTTTTCTCCTTCCAAGGAACTCAAAATAGCTAGCATAATTATTCTCCTCTTCATGATCTTATCCTCACAACAACAACCTTGTGAGGTAGGTTGGGCTGAGCATCTGTGACTGGCCCAAAGTCACCCAGTGAGCTCCATGGCTTAGTGGGGACTAGAACCCAGATCTCCTGAATCCCAGTCCCACACTCTAACCACCACACAATACTGGCTCTCTAAAGGTGTGTGGAGATGCCAGGAACTTTTTCTATTTACGTGCTTACTTACCTGCGCTTATGTTAAAGTAAAAATGGGAAAACACAGCTGCTAGGTACTTATTTCTGGTTTGATCAGAGATTCACTGCTCTAAAATATATATCTGGATCAGGGCCTTTGCACTTACTGTTGAGTAAAAGCAGCAGCAGCAGCATGGTATAGTTGCTAGACATGGATTTAAAGTCATGTCTGCTTTGACTCAAACTTCTATTCCTTGTTCTGAAAACTGGATGGTTTGTACCAGTGGCTTTTGTGAACTATGTTGCTACAGCCACTTCAGAAGTGAGCCATGTCACATTGAGATAAATGATGCTAATAACTCATTGTGGTAATAAAACAGTCTGGTTTTTTAAAATAGACTGAGAACTGACTGGGCAATTTCCGCTGTTTTTAGTAAACAGTGCATTTCTAAGAAATCCAGAAGGGAATGGGCTCAGCTGTAGTCGTGACAGTTTGTTGCTTATTGGTGTATCCGAGCTGTTTGGGGAAAAATAATTTGGTCTGGCTTGCTGCTGTGGCTGATTTTGTTTCCCACATTAACGAGACACAAGCAGCAGCAAGTGCGTGCATGCGGCGGGGGGGGGGGGGAAGAGGGCCATTCATATTCCTATCATTTACCATTCCCCATCAGACAGCTGTTGCTCACTTACTTAGTCTCTGAGCTCACTGCCCCATTCCTGAAGTTGCAGCCGCTTCCTTGCTAAACCAAGTAGGACATCGGTGAAATACGGGTAAGCTTGAATAGTTCCCTTTTCAATATGTATTTACCAGTTGCAGATAAGAATAAAATTTACTTTTTGATATTCTCAGAGGTGAGAATTATTACAGGTTATTATCACATTTCATTAGAGACAGTGCATGATTTGAATGTGGCTTTTTAAGTTTTTATTTTTTAAGCAGGAACCTTCTGAAAACAAAAAGCAAACAAAACATCTCATTTTCCTACTCTTGTTAGAAGGCAGGTTCTTTTTATCATACACTGGACAATGAACATTACCACGTTTGTGGACAGAGTTTGTGAGGATTAGCTTAATACTATAACTTTTGGGGGAAATATTTGCTCACAACAGCAAGCTTGTTTTGTGCGTTTGGCTTGTTCCTGATTTGGCATGTGTTCATTTAATAAACACGCCTCTTCCAGCCTGCATTTGGGCATGCTCAATAACTGTGTTTTGAAGTTTGAGACAAGCAAATGTAACTGAATTTCCAGCACTATAGCTGGTGCCATGCCTGAGCTTATAATAGCTGTTTTTGTCAAACGTTTATAAATCAATGACTGTATCAACAGTTAGGGGCAGCTCCCCCCCTCCCTCCATGTGTGTGTGATTATGAGATAAATTATTCCAGAGTACAGTCTTCTGATTTATATGAATGGTCATTGGTTAATGTGTCATTCTGAGAGAAATCAAAAACAAGGAAAAGAACCCAAAGTTGGTGATTCACCTCTGTCCATTCTGGGTGAAAATGACTATTTTGGTAACGGTTACATCAGACAAGCATCACATGGGGAACCAAAGCCAGTTTATAACAAGTGTACAGTGATAGAGCTGAAACAGTGAAAAGTATTTGTAGCTATAGCACATTTGGTTTCCCTGTTGACTGCATCAAGAAATCAAATTCAGATAAGCAAACAGCATCTTTGAAACCAATGGAAGCTTTAAAAAAACTAATTATGAAGAGGGGAAGGGAAGCAACTAGATGGAGAGAGAACAGATGCCTCCCAGCACACGACACCTGGACAGCACCTGGCTGTAGTCTTCTCCAGTAGAGCCAGATCTACTGTATTTCTGTTATCACAATGATTTTGTAATGTATTTATTATGACATTTATAGCCCATCTTTTTGCTTCTAGAAAACAACCCAAGGTGGCTTACATGGCCTTCACTCTCTTCATTTTATTATCACACAGTCCTATGAGGTAGGTTAGACTGAGAGTCAGTGACTGATCCAAAGAGCTGCATAACTGAGTGGGGACCAGAACCAAGATCTATTGAGTGTCAGTCCAGCACTCTAACCACTGCACCACAGGATCTCCAAACATGCACTGACCTAAATAATTTGGTGACGCATGTCCTCTTTTACAGAAATGCTTGCATGACCACCCCTTTGGGCAGCAAGGTGCCTGGTGCCCATCTGCCACCTCCTGTGGCAACAACTTGATTTAAACAGGTGCCATATAGAGGGAATGAGAGAAGACCTGCCTCACTCAGCAGCGTTCTGAGGTCTGGCAGGCCAGACTCTGTCCAGTTGCCCTTTCCTACAATCCAAATAGGTGTAAGTGACAGAGAAATCTCCTTTGTATTTAACAGCTGAGTTATCAAGCTATTAACAGCACACAGGGTTAAGACAAGCTGTACCTGCTGAAACATCTTTTCTGCTCAAGCATTAAGGGCATGGCAAACTTTGCATTCAGTTATCAAGATTACCAAGTCCGTTCATGAATGGAGAGGCAGGGTTTACAAAGTAATCAGCAACAGCTTTGTGTTGCCCCTCTTGCTTCCAATCACTAACAAAGCTGCTTGTATTTTTTCTTCGACCACTCATCAGATTACAGGTGCTCCCTCTTCCCTTACGTCCTACCCCACAAACACTTAGGTCTGAAAAGCACAATCTAATTCTCTCCAGGGGCACTGAGAGGCTGGACTGAAGAAGGGCCGGGAAACACAAGCACTTGCAAGGCCCGTAAGGAAGAAAGAAAAGCCCTAACGCTGACATGAGACTTTTGTAATATACCTGCAGTCCAGTCCTCCAAATATGGATGCTCCAGGGCTGATTCAATAATCTTTGGTCTCCTTTGAATAAGGCTTAGTAGAATTTATTTGAGAAAAGGTCCACAGCAGGAACACTTGCTAGGAAATTTAAGGGTGACCACAGGCCCAATGGGATTCTTCCAGAGAACAATTAAGCTCCCACAGCATGTTTCCTGGTCCTGCCCCAAGAAATACTGAACATGTGTCCTTTTTTGATTCCAGATTACACAAAACCTGAATCATTCCCTCCCTCTATATAGTAGAGTAAGGATGAGTCCCCCGCACCTATCACCTATGCTTCTGGGTATCTTAACTCCCATGAGACACTATATGATCAAACCAGAAGAAGACATTCCATTATTTTTTTCTTTTTCTTCTCTAGAGGATTGATTGACAACATTTCCATAGCCTGCCTAAGTTAAGAAAAATATGCTTCAGCATTTAATGCAGTGCTGATGTGAAAGTAATTCAGATTTCTGTGGAATTCTGCATTCTTCAACAGGAAGCAGATGATGTCATAATCATCATAAAACCAAGACAATTTGTCCCAAATTTCTTACACTTGCAGAGAAGAACTGCATATCAAGAGTTATAAATAGGCCAAATTTCAAAAACACTGCTTAAAATGGTGAATACATAGCCATTTAATTTCACCCCCCCCAAAAAAAAACAGTTTGTAGTAGTTCCTATCCATTTTATCTGCATCCATATTGTATTTCCAGTTTTTCCTTTTGTTGGAGTATATTTTCCCAACATTCCAGAGGAACTGCATAGGGTGCTGTCCTTCCTAGTTTAATAAAAAGTCATCATATATTCGGACAATTATGAAAACTAGGACAGAAAGTCCTTGTTTTCACAAGTTATTTATCAAGCATTGACACTGCCAACCTCACCCCCAACCACTTCTTTTGAACATACATTCATTTTATTTTTATTTTTAAAAGGATTTTAGGAATTACTTGATGCTCGTATCATTTCTTCTGCAACTTCTTTAGGTCACTCTGTACATTGACTGTACTAAAAATGTACAATTATTCATTGTATTTCTATTCCAGCTTTCCACTGGGAAAATACCATCCAAGACTGCTTACAATTATAATGACTTTATTTATTTATTTATTTATTTAGAACATTTTATTTATTTATTTATTTATTTAAAACATTTCTATGCCGCCCCATTCGCTGAAGCCTCGGGGCAGCTCACAACATAAAATTAAAATATAAAACATTCAAATATACAACAAATTCACAATATAAAATAAGTCACCCTGGCCAGATAAAATAAGCAAATAATATTAACAATTAAAATGACGTTTAAATAAAAAGGTCTTTGCCTGGCGCCGAAAAACAAATAATGACGGCGCCAGGCGGACCTCTCTGGGGAGCGCATTCCATAGATTGGGCGCCACCACAGAGAAAGCCCTCCTCCAAATACCCACCCTCCTAATTTCTTTCACGGAGGGTTCCCGGAGAAGGGCCTCTCCCGCAGATCTCAAGGAGTGGGCAGGTGTATATGGATGTAAGCGCTCCTTCAGGTAACCAGGACCCAAGCCGTTTAGGGCTTTATAGGTCATCACCAACACCTTGAATTGGGCCCGGACTTCAATGGGAAGCCAGTGAAGCTGACGGAGGACTGGAGTCATGTGAACATAACGCCCAGTCCCTGTCAGCAGCCTGGCAGCTCTATTTTGAACCAATTGAAGTATCCGGACCGTCTTCAAGGGTAGCCCCACATAGAGCACATTACAGAAGTCAAGGCGGGAAGTCACCAGTGCATGTGTCACTGTCGCCAGGCAGTCGTACTCCAGGTAGGGGCGCACCTGATGGATCAGCCGAAGCTGAAGCCAAGCGCTCCTCGCCACTGCTGTCACCTGAGCTTCCAATGAAAGCTCTGGGTCGAGGAGCACTCCCAGGCTGCGGACCTTGTCCCTAAGAGGGAGTGCAACCCCATTCAGGACTAAGTTCAATTCACCCTCTCTGAAGCCTGATCCGCCAACCAACAGCACCTCCGTCTTGTCTGGATTGAGCTTCAGTTTATTGGCCCTCATCCAGCCCATTACCTTGGCCAGGCACTGGTTCAGTACAGCCACTGCCTCACCTGGATTGGTGGAAAACGAGAGGTAGAGCTGGGTATCATCAGCGTACTGATGATTCCGCAGCCCACACCTCCTGATGACCTCTCCCAGCAGTTTCATGTAGATGTTAAACAGCAAAGGGGACAAAATGGACCCCTGTGGTACTCCATGGCACAGCTGCCATGGTGCAGAGCCATAGTCCCCCAGCACCACCTTCTGGAATCGGCCATTGAGATAGGAGCGGAACCACTGCAAAGCAGTGCCTCCGACCCCCAATCCCGCTAGCCTATCCAGAAGGATACCATGGTCGATGGTATCGAAAGCTGCTGAGAGGTCCAGGAGAACCAACAGGGATGCACTCCCCCTGTCCTTCTCCCTGCACAGGTCATCGTACAGGGCGACCAAGGCAGATTCAATACTGTACCCGGGTCTGAAGCCAGACTGAAATGGGTCCAGATGATCAGTTTCATCCAAGAGAGCTTGGAGTTGTCCCGCCACCACCCACTCTAACACCTTGCCCAGAAACGGGATGTTGGCCACTGGTCTATAATTAGTGGCCATCTCTGGATCCAGTGACACTTTCTTCAGGACCGGTTGGACTACCGCCTCCTTTAAAGGGGCAGGCACCCGACCCTCCCTCAGAGAAGCGTTAACCACTTCCAAGTTCCAGATCCCAATCCTGTGCTTGGAATTATTTATTAACCAAGACGGGCAAGGGTCCAATAGGCAAGTGGTGGGACGTACTCATCCAAGCACCTTGTTCACATCATCAGGCCGCAATAATTTATATGCCATCACCACATGCCTCGGCATCTTGGGACGGCTCACAGCAATCTGATTTACACTCTAATAAAACAAATACATAATTAATTAAAATATCACAATAACAGAATAAATACAGCATCC